GCAACTATACCATCATTATCATCTCCATCGCTATCTTTATTCACCCATTTTTGCTTCTTTTCATCCCATTCAATCTGAAGATAAGACAGTATTACTATCATCAGCACCAATTCCTGGGAGGGTTATTTTATTAGAAGGTTGGCACTGGTCTCTAAATGATCATAATATATATCTTTTGATTTTCTACATTATCTTCATAATTATTACACTATTAGTTATAGAAATAACACCATCATAATATGTATCTATTGAATCATTTTCCATATTATCTGTTTTATTATTATCATCATTATTACACTTCTAGTTACAGAAAGAGCATAAAGAAAAAAAAAACACAGCAAATTACCTTAGTGTAAAATACAAATATATTAATAATTCATTATACTATTATATAAGAGATTTAACTACTTACTGTTTTGTCACTATCATCTGGCAGGTGAACATCGTTTTTACCACCAAACCGACTGAAAAGACCACGGAACCAGCTACCGCCACCACCCTGTTAACATTAAAAATACAAATTGCAATTTAACAAAAACAAACATTGAGATTATAAACACATAAATATACACACATTTGCACATACATTTTATGCATATTTAATGCTGCTACATAGAACATAAGTACATAAAAATAATAAAACAATAACAAAATAAATAAAAAAACATTAAAAATAATTTTTTAAAATAGAGGCATAAATAGTTAGCGCAAATTTTATTGCCGAATAATGTTTGGCACTGCTGTCTAGGATCATTCCTTAAAAAAAGGTGATTGATTGATTGATTGATTGATGTAATACCAGTATATATTGGTTAGGCATTACATAAATGACTCTTAATATTATTACTCTCATGAAATAATTAGAAAAATTGATTTATTGAATTTGTAGTCTACCTTTGGTTTCACAGTTGAATTTAGCTCCGAATGTTTGTGCTGAGGTTTCTGCTTTCGCTACAGGGGTAGGTGCTGACCCTTTGTTGCTTGAGCTCTGTGAAAGTGTTCTTGTGGTTGGGGATTCAGGAGGAGTAATTGTGTTACTTGGCGTAGATGGCATTGTGCTTGGTGTGTCAACATTCTTGGAAGTCGCCTGAAAAAAAAGTATTACATATAATCTTTATTTGCAATAGAAAACCATATTTATAGCCCGACTAGTGTATTCTATTGGGTTTGGAATGCTGGAATTCTTTTTCAATTTGTTGTCAATTTCAATGCAATAAGAGTTATATAATCCGTTAAATATAGAGTGGAGTTGAATAGTTTGGTGGTTAAGATGCTTGCCTTCCAAACCCAGGGTCCTGGGTTCAATTCCTGTCATTATTGCAGGATTTTTTCTCACGACCAAAACAACTCCACTTCCTAAACCTCATAATTTTGAGATTTAGTTTGTGTAAAGCATCATGTGTGTATGTTTGTGCAAGGGTGTGTCACCTATAAGTAGGACAGTGATATATTCGCTATTGACAATCCCGAAGTGGTGCGTGTGTTGTTTGCCTAAAATAAATAATAACTAAACTTTACATTGCTATGGCCATAAATCATAATTATTTAAATAAAATATATGTATTTATCAGCATGTCCTTCGAATTAACTTCAAATATGAATAATTTTGTAATAATAATAACCAAATTATTTAGTGGAGCTAAGAAAATACTGTAAGCATACATTATATAAATTCAAGATCATAAAATAGGTGAATGAGTAGAGAGGTTGGCTTCGGAAAAGAATACGGTAATTTATACAAATTATAAGATTTATATAGATTATATAAGATTTTTACATTCCAAATTGTTGGCACTTCCATCGCCCCTATACCCCCTCCGAAGGGTAGGCCTTACTGAGCGGCCACGTGGCGCCACCACTGTTTCGTTTTTTCGTCGTGTTGTAACAACTTTCCTGAAAGCGCGAAATTCTACTCTCGGAAGTTTGAGGATGGTACGCGTTCATTGCACCCTCAGGAGGGTGGGGTGGGGGACACGGGCCTATCAGTAATCCACATTGTTGAGTTGCAGTTGAAAGCTTCTTTGGGTATGAATGTCCCTTGTCGTGAATGTGAATTTATAAAGCCCTGTCCAGACTGTCAAATTTTATTCGAGAAACACATGTGACATGCCTAAATATGGTCATGACGACATCAGACCAAGGGCACATCATGACCATATATGGGCATACAATAACTTTTTAAAAGAAAATACAACCTGGACAGAGCTTAAAGTACCCTCTCTGCCTATCAAATTATTTTTATCACATATTGGACTTATTCGACTGGTCTATTTCGTTGACTACAATTTTTCGTTGAGTATTATTTTCATTCGACTTGTTCGTAAAATATACTTCGTTGACTTCGAAAATTAACGTAAACCAGAGTGCGTTAAATCAGCGTTAAGTTCCACATCTGACCAAAATAAGCATGGCCGATTGGTCAGTTTAGCAACAACATTTGCATTAATATAATTTAGATTAAATTTAAGAAAATAAAAATTATAATATTTCCCACATGAAATCAAAAAATAATTTAGCCAACAGAATTTAAAAACTTGATGAAAAAATTTTTCTTACAAAAAATCCATGCTGCCACAAGCCAACAACCTTGATTACGCAGCGTGTTTTGTGGTAACTATGCAGCAATTTTGTATTGTCGAGTATTTACTAGATCACCTGCGGAAGTGGGCGTGGTTAAACGAAAAACGACCAGTCGAATACGTTTCATTTATGAGTTGTTTCTAAAATAATTTCAAAATATTATACGGTAGGCTATATTATGCAAATACACTAAATTGATTTGAGTTTTGGCTGACATGAATGAAGTACAATGTATCATACATACTTTAAACATTCATATTTTATTCATTTTTTTTGTTAGGCCTATGATTTCTCTGGGTTTGTCTTACATTTGTAGGAATTTCCGCTTTTAATTCTTCAATTTGTATTATTTTCTTTCCTTGTACAGTATTTCTCAAAATAATAAATTTAAAAAAAAATTAACATGCATAAATTTCAAAGGCCAGAGAACCACTCCCATCTAGTTACACATATTAATAATAAAATTTCAAAACATATATAAAAAAATACACGCAATAGTATGGTTAATAATATTCTTAAAATAGTTTCTATCGGTGGTATACAGATACATGTTTACATATTAGATTAACGTTTTCTTCAACATAAACATATGAGTCAATCGAAATTATGAATAACGAAGTTAAATCTTAATTAATGGTATAAAAACATATATATATTTTGTTTCGTTATTGTTTTAGTCTAAACTCCCAATATATAAGTCTTTTTAATGCAGTTGCATAGCATACATTTTAAAACATGCCTCCTTTTAGCAAATGTACCTTACTATGCATTTCTTAAAAATCTATAAAATATTTATATTATGAACCTTACGTACCGGGATTCCAATCTAGGGTACACCAAGCTTAACCAAGGCTTAACTAAAATCATACACATCAAAAAGGCACTTTGTATTAATTGATCATTTCAACATTCTTCAAATACATTGTTTAAATGGTTTCATCTTATTTCCAATATGTAAGTTCCATAGTATTAGTAAGATAATAACATGAATAAGGTTCACACCAATTGTCATATTATACAAATTACTTCTGGAAAAGGCTGAATCTTATCATTGCGTAAACCTAACAACGACCTTGCAACGACAAACAGACTTACTGACAGTTGGACGAAACAGTCATTTAAAAAGTAAGTATCCTATTGGTTTCATTTTTTCTCTCTATGGAAATTGAATACTCATTTAGTTACA